ACCGGTGTGAGGTGATACCTCATTGTACTTTTGATTTGCATTTCTCTAATAATTAGTGATGTTGAGCAGCTTTCATGTGCCTCTTGGCCATCTGTATGTCTTCTTTGGAGAAATGTCTGTTTAGGTCTTCTGCCCATTTTTTGATTGGGTTATTTGTTTTTTCAATATTGAACTGCATGAGCGGTTTATATATTTTGGAGATTAATCCTTTGACCGTTGATTCGTTTGCAAATATTTTCTCCCATTCTGAGGGTTGTCTTTTCATCTTGTTTATAGTTTCCTTTGCTGTGCAAAAGCTTTTAAGTTTCATTAGGTCCCATTTATCTTTTATTTTATTTCCATTACTCTAGGAGGTGGATTAAAAAAGATCTTGCTGTGATTTATGTCAAAGAGTGTTCTTCCTATGTTTTCCTCAAAGAGTTTTATAGTGTCTGGTCTTACATTTAGGTCTTTAATCCATTTTGAGTTTATTTTTGTGTATGGTGTTAGGGAGTGTTCTGATTTCATTCTTTTACATGTAGCTGTCCAGTTTTCCCAGCACCGCTTATTGAAGAGACTGTCTTTTCTCCATTGCATATCCTTGCCTCCTTTGTCATTGATTAGTTGACCACAGGTGTGTGGGTATATCTCTGGGCTTTCTATCCTGTTCCATTGATCTATCTATATTTCTGTTTTTGTGCCAGTACCATATTGTCTTGATTACTGTAGTTTTGTAGTATAGTCTGAAGTCAGGGAGTCTAATTCCTCCAGCTCCGTTTTTTTCCCTCAAGACTGCTTTGGCTATTTGGGGTCTTTTGTGTCTCCACACAAATTTTAAGATTCTTTGTTCTGGTTCTGTAAAAAATGCCGTTGGTAATTTGATAAGGATTGCATTGAATCTGTAGATTGCTTTGGGTAGTATAGTCATTTTCTCAATATTGATTCTTCCATTCCAAGAACATGGTATATCTCTCCATCTGCTTGTGTCATCTTTGATTTCTTTCATCAGTGTCTTATAGTTTTCTAAGTACAGGTCTTTACCTCCTTAGGTAGGTTTATTCCTAGGCATTTTCTTCTTTTTGTTGCACTGGTAAATGGGGTTGTTTCCTTAATTTCTCTTTCTGATCTTTCATCGTTAGTGTATAGGAATGCAAGAGATTTCTGTGCATTAATTTTGTATCCTGCAACTTTACCAAATTCATTGATTAGCTCTAGTAGTTTTCTGGTGGCATCTATAGGATTCTCTATGTATAGCATCATGTGATCTGCAAACAAAGACAGTTTTACTTCTTCTTTTCCAATTTGTATTCCTTTTATTTCTTTTTCTTCTCTGATTGCCGTGGCTGGGACTTCCAGAACAATGTTGAATAATAGTTTCAAGTATTGAAATAGTTTTAATGGCAAGAGTGGACATTCTTGTCTTGTTCCTGATCTTAGAGGAAATGCTTTCACTTTTTATGTTTAAATACATTAGTGAAATTACAAGGAAGTTTTTTCTTAAGATGTGGTATCCAGAATGTCATGCAGTTTTCTAGGTAAAGATGTTATCTTGAAAACACTCCGAAACAGAATCAGTTGTGAAAGTGACTTACATATTCAGGTGCTAAATCTACCACACTCAGGTCATAAGGTTCTGAACATCATTAAACTTTTCAGAATTAGATATGAAACAAGGACTCAGGTTTGAGAAGAGGGGCTTCTAATATCTCCAGTCAAACTATCTGAAAGAAAACCCCAGATTTTCATCGATTTACATAGGGTCAAAGTTAACTGGCTGATTAACAAAGTTAATTGGCTGATTAACAGGGTCAAAGTTAATCGGCTGATTAACAGTTAACTCACCAAATTGTCAAAATTACCTAAATCACTGCCTTATGGAATTAACTTCAGTTGTTTCTTCACAAAACACATTTACGGTGTTATCAAAGCAGTTAGTATTAGACTGATTTGCTTGTATCTTTCCTACTAATGGAGATTAAAAGCGAGGGTGGGAGGAAACTTTTGGAGGTGATGGATATGTTCATGGCATAGATCGAGGGGTTGATTTCATGAGCGTATACTTATCTCCAACACTTCAAGTTGTTTACATTAAATACGTACAGCTTTTGAAGCATCAAGCATACTTCAATAAAGTGGTTAAAAAAAAAAGAATCATTTGGAGAGAACTGGAGAGAGGAAGTAGGATTTATTTTGATTGTTTAGAGAAAATATAGACCTTGAGCTCTCGTATACCAAGAGCTTCATATGAGGCCATTTGTGATGGGCCAGAAGACCTTGCACAGCCTCATATTTTAAGAACTCAGCAGAAATAACTCCCCAGATGCAGATTATTCTCCTTTAGATGACTGGACCACTGCGTTTGAACGAGATTCTAAAATAAAACTGAGGCTGTGAAGTTTCTTTTTAGTTAACTCAATTGTGAAGTGTGACATGCAACAGAGAAGTGCTGAAAATAAATGAAGAGCCCAAGGAATGCTCATCTAACCTTCCCAAAACCCCCCAACAAGAGAATATTGTAAGCACCTGAGAAGCTACCCTTTTATTTCTCCCAATTTCCAACACCTTTCAACTCCCCAAAGTGAAGTACTGACTCTGCACTCTATGACTTGATCGTAACTATGTTCAAACTTAGTATAAAGGGAATCGTAAATATTCTTTGGGGTCAGGCTTAAGTTTGTGATGCACCTGTGTTGTTGATGTTCAACTGCTTTCATTGCTGGGGGATATTCTATTAGATCACACTCCACTTTCCTTCTGCAGTTGATGTGCATTCGGATTATGTCCAGTTTGCGGCCACTAGGAATTAGGTTTCTAGGAACATCCTTGAGCACACGTATATGTTTGGAGCAGGATTAACAGATCACAGGGTGTGCATTTTGAGTAAATGCTGTCAAACTGTTTTCCAAAGGCTTTTCTTCAATATACACTTTTTCGCACACAGAGTAGTGCACAAGAATTCCCATACTCCATCAGCACTCAGTTCCTAGTCTCAACCTTTTTAACTTTAGCCGTTCTACCCGGTGTTTAGCGGTATCTCGTTGTGGTTTTAATTTGCATTTCCTTGGTAACTAATGAGACTGAGCACTTTTCCAGTTATTGGCCATTTGGATATTCTCTTTTGTGAAGTGCCTATTTGAGTCTCTCTTCCATTTCTCTAATTGGGCTTTCTGTGTTTTTCTTAATGAGTTTTAGGAGTTCTTTATTTTCTATGATACTGGTTCTCATACTTCAGAATGCTTCAGAATCATCCTTCGGCCTTAAGACAGACTACTGGTCCCTACAACCAGTGTTTCTGATTCAGTAGATATGGGGTGAGACACAGGAATGTGCATTTCTAACAAGTTCCCAGGTGATGCCGATACTGCTAGCCTAGTGACCATACTGTGACAATACACGTCCTACAGGTGTTTTAAATGTAGCAGCAACAGATGTTGCTTGTTAGTTTAGGGCAAAAAACAAAAAACCCAGGAACTTCAACAATTGACTACTTGGTTCAAGCTTGGGACATAAGCTGATACTTTCCTTTTATGGAAGGGGTACAACTGGGATTACTTCAGTAGCAACTGTTTAAATCTGTCTGACACCCTCCTCTCTGCGTAGAGTATCTGGTGTACCTACTTAGCCAAGAAACCAGTTGATAATAGATATTTTATTATCTCAGGGAAACTCACTGGCTTTCAACAGCAAGGACATGAGTCAGTTATACCTCTAAAAATAAAAAAAATCTGTCTGACACCCTCCTCTCTGCGTAGAGTATCTGGTGTACCTACTTAGCCAAGAAACCAGTTGATAATAGATATTTTATTATCTCAGGGAAACTCACTGGCTTTCAACAGCAAGGACATGAGTCAGTTATACCTCTAAAAATAAAAATACAGGGGCTTCCCTGGTCACAGTGGTTTTGTGTGTGTGTGTGTGTGTATAATATATAAATATATTCCATTTGAGGGTGGTTATGCCTTATTCTGAGAGTACACGTAAAACCAGGACAGTAAAACCTTTAGTAACTTGAACACACCATATCATAGCCACCACCATCAAGAAAAGCTAAAGACCCATAGTTCAAACAAAGTACGGCGGGCCCTAGGAAGTATTGTGCTTTGTTGATCTACTGATCAGAAAGAGCTAAACAAAGTACAGTTAGTGGTCAGAAGTAAACTAACCTAGGCAGGCTCATGAAAGTTAACCTTCTTGATGCATCCTGAGAACATACTGCATAAATACAATGTATGCAACGTCTTTCTGTTTTTCTCACCAAGTCAGGAGAGCCCACGCATGTGATTTAGAAAGGATTTCAATGACGGGCAAAGCAAAAGCCTTATGTCAGCAGAGGGTCAACCGTCAATTGATGGTCAATTGAGGGTCAATTACAGTTAGCAGCATGGCCTTTTTGAAAATATCACCAAGATGAGTCTAAAACTGCAACAGATATCATGTAGGAGCCACGAAATCTAGAAGACGATTAATGATAACACGAGTCCATCATTATCAAATCCCCTAGAAGGGCTCCTATTTTCTGAAAGTATTTTCTCTTCCATCTCTTTCAGAAAATATAATTAAATACTGACCTTCTGTATTTTAACCATTTATCTTTTTTTTGGGGGGGGGCCCTCTCCTTCTATAATGCCACTTAAACTAAAGTGTATTTTTTGTTTTTCCTATTAGTTTTTTCTCTACTAGTTTAGCCAGAGGTTTTGGGCAGGGAATAGTGGATCCTACTTATGTTAAAGAAAGTGGTAAGGCAAAATGATAACTTCCACAGACTTCAAGTAAATAGAATCCCTGATATAATTGGAAAGTAATATGTAATTTGGGGGCAGTAAAAAACATCTATGACAACTTTGTCTTATACCTTAGAAAATGTGCTTTGGCTCTGGAGTCTCTTTAAGGCACAAAACCTGGTAAACAGCTTTTATTGGTGGCCCGTACCTCTGATTTAGATAAGACAAAAAAACACTATAACGTATAAATAACAATAATAAATCATTTTGTTAGAGCTTGACATCATTGGGTGAAGTGGAGGAAAAAAATCCAAATAGACTAACAACTTGTATGCAAATATTTGTTGCTGGTGTAAAAAAAAAAGTAAAATGTAGTTTACACAGTGCAAAGACTATTGGAAAAATGTCTTTGGAATAGACTTGACTTCATGGTAGAATCACAGTGCTGTCTCAAAAATTGTTAAGGCTGGGGGCTGTCCATTGGAAGCATTCATAACCACATGCCCATTGTGAATAATTTCTGGATAATTCCTTTTGAAGTACACCTGAAAAAAAAGAGACAGGTATAAAAACATGTTTAAAAGTTTTAAAGTCCTCCTCCCTAAAGCAGCGCATTTCTTTTCTTGTTTTTAAATTTTATTTATTTAATTTATTTGTTTTTGGCTGCATTGGGTCTTCATTGCTGCGCGCGGACTTTCTCTAGCTGCGGCGAGCGGGGGCTACTCTTTGTTGCGGTGCGCGGGCTTCTCACTGTGGTGGCTTCTCATGTTGCGGAGCACAGGCTCTAGGTGCATGGACTTCAGTAGTTGTGGCCTTGGGCTCAGTAGTTGTGGCACACGGGCTTAGTTGCTCTGTGGCATGTGGGATCTTCCCGGACCAGGGCTCAAACCCTTGTCCCCTGGATTGCCAGGTGGATTCTTAACCACTGCGCCACCAGGGAAGCCCCAAGCAGTGCATTTCTATGTCCACTTTTCATGTGAAGCAATCCCATCACTAGTGGAGGAACAACTGAAAAAACCAGGGACGTATTTATTCTGTGAAGGAAGTAGCCCCATTAAAACCCTCAGTGGGGCTGAGCCTGATGCCAAACAACCTGTGGATCCACTTGAGTTCTGATCATTCTGATTCACAGATATGCTTTATCACTACATTAAACTGATAAGCGAAATCATTTTACCGACTCAAAGCCTGGCGATAAATTAAAAACAGGGTGACAAAGAGGCTGGGAAATCTAGCGTCTGCATGAGGGTTTCTCATTTTCACACACAAAATGAGCACAATAGATTTGGATGTTAATATCAGGTTGCAATCCCTCTATTTTATAAACTCTGAGGACAAGCATTGAAACGCTGGCGTGTATGTATGAAATATCCTGGCGTTTAATTTGTGCGGCAAAGCAGTTATAGGGCCTATAGAAATGTGATCTGTGGATAGTGGAATATAAGAATGAAAAGAGAATCAAAAGCTTTAACAATGACTCAACCAAGCAACTTCTCTAAAATGGACGATGATACCAAATAATAGGACAGGTCTTTGCCAGGCCTTTGAGTTCTTGAATTCTACCAATTTCTAGCTGCACTGGAAGAGATACAGGTTTTCTGATAAATGTATAATCAGAACACAATGGAAATGAAATGCTGTCAAGATTGTCTATTCCACAATCATCAGTTTTTAGTAGCTGTATCGTATCTCAGTTCCTTGACAGATGCACAGAACAAAATGAAATAATGTCAAGTCTTGTGAGCTCTTATCTCTAAATGTGTTTGGGTGAAAAAGGACTTCAAAAGTAATTTTTTTTTCCTCCAAAGAAGAGTGTGAAAAGTTTTGTTTGAGTCTTTAAAACAGAAAATGTACCATCTATCTGAGGCTTTTTCGTGTCACGTGCTGAGGTGCTTAGTCATATGAGTTCAGATCTATTTTATAAAACCTGACTCCAAGTACATTTGTGGGTGCTGTCAACAAAGTTATCATGAGAGATAGTGGACGTCACATATGAAATGGAAAAGCTATGAGACACCTACCTTCATATTATGTGTACTTTCTTTTTCTCTTATTGCTTGCATACTTGCTACCCGCAAAACAGCACTACATATGAAATGCTGTATATTAAAATGTCACTTAAAAGGAGAAAAATAAGAATTCCTCCAAGAATGCTTGCATCCGACTGGATGAAATTCGAGGCTATTTCCATTATAATGCGAGGAATTAAAAATAAAGCTTTTGGGGGGGCTAATTGCATTTCATCCCCCTCCTCAATTTTTTAAAAAATAGCCATACTTGTGTGGTTATGTATTTATATACTCTGTTAGTGAAAGTAAAAACAGCCAGAAGAACAGAAGGGAATTAATTTCATTTCCTACTGCTTGACAGCCACCCCTCCCCCATCGACCTGGTTCCTTTTCCCATACCCCTTTCTCAATGTAATTTTTTATTAAAAATTTTTTATTATTAGCAATTTTTAACCAAAATGGTCTTCATTTCATGGTCTGAAATACTTAGAACTGAATAATGAAAATGACCTTCCTATGTATAAAATCCTTGATTTGACCTTTCTTTTCCTCATCTGTTGCCATGGTGTAGAATACACTCTGGCTGACAGCACAAGTGAGAGAAGGCATCTTTTTCACAGGGCGGGTTATGAAGGGAGTTGAGATGACTGAACGCTTGTTAGCAGAGTCCTTGTGGATGGGCTGAGCCTGGGATGGAGAGGCCCAAACTCACCTCTCTCTCCTGGGACCACTGCTGACCTTGAAAAAATCACTTAAGCTCTCTCTGCACCAGCTGCCTCATTTGTGAAACGAGACAATGACTTACCTCATAGGAACTAATTGATGGCTACAAACTGCAGGTTGAAAACATGCTGAGCTAAGTGTTGGGAGTGATTATGATGCTGCTCAGAGACGTGGTCCCTTAAGTCCACAGAAAGCAGCAGCATCACCCAGCTTAAATGATGAAAACAAAACATCTAGGAGGCCCTTTTGTGAATCTTTTGATTTTTATCTTTATAGAAGCGCAGGGTCGTAGTTACTACACATTTTATTCAGTAAATATAGTAACCCGGGAGGCAGAAAATAGTTAAAAGATTACTAACACTTTCTAACCTGTGACTTTGAGAAGTTCCTTAGGCCCTTCTGCCTCAGTTTCTCGATGTGAGGGATAATACTACCAGCTCAGAATAGCTTTCATGAGGATTAAAAGAGACAATGCCAAAAAAGTTCAAATTCTGGACAAGCAGAATATAATACCAGTGAGTGCTGGGTTTGAGCCTTTTCCTGTCCTTCTTTGGGTTTAGTTCATTATAGTTCCTCCAATGTAGGTTGAAACTAAGTTTAGTATTTAAACTCCAACTTGTAAACAAAGCCACCATCATGGAATTAGATCTTAGTAAAAGCAACAGAGCAATAAATGTTCTCCTGCACAGATAAAGGCCAACAACCAATGGTTCAATATATGTAGAATTATGGTTCAAAAATCTGTCCATTCATTCTCCCTGAACTGCACGGCCCTAGTTCAATCCCAGTAACCCTCAAACTCCTCATCTTTTTTTTTTTTTTTTTTTTTTGCTGTACGTGGGCCTCTCACTGTTGTGGCCTGTCCCGTTGCAGAGCACAGGCTCCGGACGCGCAGGCCCAGCGGCCATGGCTCACGGGCCCAGTCGCTCTGCAGCATGTGGGATCTTCCCGGACCGGGGCACGAACCCGTGTCCCCTGCATCGGCAGGCGGACTCTCAACCACTGCGCCACCAGGGAAGCCCAAACTCCTCATCTTTAAAGCAGGTCTAACTTTGTGGACATACTGACAGGTATATTATCAAAGTTAAAGAGTGCTGGAGAGTTAGAGACGATTTCTCCTTTTAACTTAACGGAATATTGGATTTTTTTCTCCCCTTATCCTCTCAGAAATCACTCTCAACAGCAAGGATAGTGGGAGGTTAAAAAGTAAGCTCAGGGCTTCCCTGGTGGCGCAGTGGTTGAGAGTCCGCCTGCCGATGCAGGGGACACGGGTTCGTGCCCCGGTCCGGGAAGATCCCACATGCTGCGGAGGGGCTGGGCCCGTGAGCCATGGCCGCTGAGCCTGCGCGTCCGGAGCCTGTGCTCTGCAACGGGAGAGGCCACAACAGTGAGAGGCCCACGTACCGGCAAAAAAAAAAAAAAAAAAAAAAAAAGCAAGCCCAATATTTGATGAAATCAGGAATCATTTGAAATCACAACTGACAAAATATCTAGATGGACTGCCTTATGCAACTGGATCCAATGTGCTGTAGCAAGACAGAGAGAAAGCACCTAAAGAGAGCAGATCTCAGCAATCATGGGAGAGCACAGTTCTCCAACTAACTGGCAAATTCTAAGGTGTCCATGAGGAATCCTATAGAATCACCATCTTTGCCTAAAGCATGAACACTGGTAAGGTCCTAGGATAAGAGAGATTCTGAAATGCAAGCAGCATTGTAACTGCCCATCTCTGAAGGCTAGGGAGGAGTACAGGCTAAATGAATATTATCAATTTCTCTCTCTCTTTCATACACACACTCATTCACTCACTCTCTTTCTCTGGATCATGGGGAATGCTTCTATGTTAAGCAGAGGGAATTCCCTTTAGTCTGAAATGATGTGCTAGCCACAACTATCTAGCAAATATATGGTCTTAGAAAAACGAAATTAAAAAGTGAGTAGTAGGAATAATAATAAATAAAAAAGTAATACAGAATTTGTAAAACACACAAACAAAAAATTAGGAAAAGTAACAGGATAAGCACATGATGGATGAAAGAAATAATCACTGAACAGATGAAAATTATGAAAAAAATAATATTACATATTTAAAGAAAATGTAGAATAATCAACCCGTGGAGGCAGAGATCTGAGAGTACAGGAAAACATGGCACAGCAACAAAAGATGAAACATGAATTGACAGACGCCAAAGTGAAAAGGAAGGTAAAAATGAAAACATCAAAGAAATGACAGTTCTGAAGGCTGCACAAAGATTAGTCACTACGGAACAAACAATATGAGACATGGAGGATAGAACTGAGAAAGGAAGTCTAATAATTATAAATTAATAAAAATTTTAAAAAGATTAAGGAAATAATAGCTTTATGAAAGGACAATCTATACATTATAGATATTTGTAAAGAGAATCCAATCAACTAAAAGAAATTCAAAGGTATAATTCAAATAAACTCCCTAAAATAAAAGACTAGAAGCTAGTGACCAAGAGTCTGTGATGTTCTAGGAAAAACAAATGACTTTCAAAACAGAAAAAGAATCCTCTGAGTATCCAGGAAAGATCAAGTTATGTCCAATGTGGCCTTAGACTCCTACACATGAATAAACAATGCTGGGAGACCTTATAGCAAAGATTACAACACAATAAGTGAAAGGACGTGTGATCCAAGAATATTATAACCAGAAATATAAACTGGTGATGTAGCAGAAAAATATTTCATATAGGTGACCCTTGAGCAACGTAGGGGTTAGGGACCCTCCACATAGTCGAAAATCCAAGTATAACTTTACAGTTGCTCCTTCATATTCACAGTTTCAT